CCACCAACCAGGACTAAAAGGTTAGACCCCTTTTGTTCGGGTTGGTGGCTCAAACCCGAACTAAAGGTCTAACCTATAGTCCCGGTTTGTGTCACAAACCGGGACTAAAGGTGCTCGTGGGGCCCGGGACTATAGGTCACAAATGAACCGGGACTAATGCATAGCCGCTGGAACTGGGACTAATGGTACCATCAGTACAGGGCCGTAATTGAACTGGGACTAATGAGGTGAACGTAAGGTCATTTTTCTACTAGTGATACACACGGAAACAAGGAGGGATAACTCTACCTAAACCTCTATACGTACTATGTTGGTGGACTAATTGAACAGACATTCCATTTGTGATGGTTAGATCCTAATTAAAAGGATTAGTGAGATAACTAAAGTGGATCTATGAGACATGTGGGTGCATGATCAAAGAAAAGAAGAATGCACGTTTTTCAAAATAAGATCAGGAACAATGCACACATTGCATGATGTAACTCCATCTATGATACCTTCCTCAGATTGTGAAGGCATGTATGGATACATATGGTATTTAGCTAGTATGGATTGAGAGATTCAGATTGAGGGTCTGCATGGATCAATTAAATTCAAATCACCTTGATCAATGATTAATTGTTTCATGATTAATATAAAACTGATATAAATGTCTTATGTACCCTTGTGTCGCGCTGGCGGGTGTTTCGGTGGATGAAGACATTAGCATTTTCTTTAAAACAAAAAAATATGATGGTGTGCTTGACATATAATTCTCACTGTTATACACAATAATTTTTTTCTCCCATTGCAACACAGAAACATACATGCTAGTACTCTCTTCGTTTCTTTATGTAAGATGTATTTTTTTTCCGGCATGATGACCAAGGCACGAGATTATAGAGAATTTAGGACGACATTACCCTTGCTAACTCATTGGTTAGTGGCAGGTAAATTAATTAGGCCATGAAAGAAACAGATACACACAATGGAGAGAGTGATTCTTTCCTTCTCTTCCTAAAAGATGAGATACAAGCAATCGGGAGAGGGATACTTTTCTTTTTCATGAAGGTCTAATAAAGTAATTACGGGAGTTAGAAGAAATGCCTCTTATATTCTGAGATTTTATTAAAAACTAAATGCACCTTTATATAAAGGAATGGAAGGAACAATTGATAAAATTATTACATCTTAAAAGATAAGTCTGCACACAGATTTTCTGTCCCAATAAGATAACAGAACATAAGTACAATTGAAAAATAAATAGGTGCTTAACAAAAGATGCAGTAAATCATATATGAAATGCAGGTGATTTTCCCTCATTCATGAAGCGCCACATTTGGAAATGGAAATGCAGCGCCGTAAGATCTGAGGTGCTGTACAAACTCGTCAATGTACCTATCCTGGAGCTCCTTATCGCCTACGACCGCTTGCATCTTCAGTGCGTTCGCCATAAAGCTCCTCCTTTCTTCTCCCTCAACCATGACGGCCCGGACGGCGCTCGCGACGCCATGGCGGTCGAACGACCCGTCGTCCTTGTCCCTCGCCACCTGCAACCCTACCTTCTTCGCCTCCATTTGCCTCGCGTTGGGCCCTTGGTCGCCGAAGATGGGCAGCATGACGAGTGGGTGCCCGAAAAGGAGGCCCTCGATCAGCGAGTTCCGGCCGCAGTGCGTCAAGAACCCGCCGACGGACGCGTGCGCCAGGATGCTCATCTGGGGAACCCACCCCGTGGCCACCAGCCCGCGGTCGTGGGTGCGGTCCTCGAAGCCGGGAGGGAGAGGGTCGTCAACGGCGCCGATGGGCTTCCTGAGAGCCCAGAGGAAGCGCGTCCCGGCGAGCTCCAGGCCGAGGGCCAGCTCGCGCACCTGCTCCTCGCGCAGTGGCACCTCGCTCCCCAGCGCCACGTACACCACCGAGCCGGGCGGCTGCGCGTCCAGCCACCGAACGGTGGCATGGTCTTCTCCGTTGGTGCCAGTGGCACGACGGCCTCCGTCAGGTGACGGCGGCAGAAGGCCGAGGGGCAGCACCGGCTTGCCGAGGAGGGTTGCTAAGAGCGGGAAGGACTCCGGCTCCCACTCGACGCAGCTCCGGATGGCCGTGATCGTGCACCTCTTCTCTGTCAAGATGCAGCGCTGGAGGCTGGACATACCCGACGACGTGCCATGCCCGGTGACAAACCGTGTCATCGCATTCCGCTCGTAATTGGGCCATGGTTTTCAATTTCAGTTTCAACAAAATTTCAGCACCAACTGAAATCACTGAAATTCAGTAAAATTCAATTATTTCAGTTTGCATTTCAGCCAAAAGGCCGAAATATTCATTTGAATTTAATTAAATATTTTAAATTTTCAAAAAATATTTTGAAATATATTTCATTTCATGTGTACTACTGAATTTGCTGAAATATTTTGACCGAAACGTAATATTTCAGTGTCTACTGAAATTAATGAAATTCAGTGAATTACAGTGAAATCTCACTGAAAGTGAAACCCGTGAACTGGGCACAGCGCGCCTGGCCTTGGCCGCCTGTTCAAACACAGAGGCAACGGCAGGGTCGGCCTCGGGGTGCTCCAATGGCGGGCGAGGCACGGCGGCGAGCATAGCAGCGGTCGTCAGAAGCGCCGCGCATGGCACCTGACATCAATGCAGCTAGATCTGAGACATGCATGGGATGGAACCAACAAGCAAGCTAGCCGTCTTTGGTGGATTGGATCGAACCTTGTGCTCGAGGGCGGCGGCGGCGGCCCAGTGGTGGAAGCAGTCAGCGATGATCCAGTGAGGCCTGGTGGCCTCGTCGGCGCACGCGGCGGCCAAGAACTCCGCGAAGGGCGCGGCGAGGCCGTCGAAGGCCTTCCAATGGAGCTCGCGGTCGGCGGCGGAGACGTCGTTAGTGGACTCCGCGCCGTCGGGCAGGCCGTCGACGCGCGGCAGCGGGAGCGGCACGAGGTCCACGCGCGGCGCCGCGGCGGGGCGCAGCGGCGGGAGGCGGGCGAGGTTGCGCGGCGTTGAGACGTAGGACACTCTGTGGCCCCGCAGCGCCAGGCGCTCGGCGAGCTCTAGGTAGGGGAGCAGGTGGCCGAAAGCGAGGTAGGGGCAGAGCACGATGCGCAGCGGCGGCAAGGACGCGGCGTCCATGGAGAGCTGAAGCTCGGGTTACCGAATACTCCTAGAAGGAAGCGGCGGCTGGCTCTTGGTGGTGCTCACTGGTCACTGTTCAGGCGCTGACACCGCGGATAAATAAAGAGAAAACCATGGGTGGCCGGTCGCTGGGATTTGGGTCCTCCCGCCAACACGTGCGCTCACCTAAAACAGTGAGGCCCTGTAGTAGCTGGCACGCTTAAGGTAGCTCCCGAAACATGGCAGTCCGACAAAAGAAAGTTCAACCTTTTCCTGAATTTGATATCTGTACTCTCTCCTGATTCTCCTTGCATTCTTTTTTTTTTTCATGCTAAGAGAGTTTTATTCCATATGAATAGGGTTACAATCGAGAGGCACCAACTCCTCAATACAAGGTGGACTTCTATCAAGTCATATGGCAGTAGTGCTCTCCGTACGGCTATACAATGCCAATCGATGTGCTACCCTATTTTGTTCCCGTTTGATTTTACACGGAATAAACTCCCGCTCCATCATGTGATGCCGAATCTCCGCTACCAGGTGGCCATATGCAGATCTGGTTAAACTTTTCCCCTTCATAGCCGCCAATGCCTCCACGGAATCAGACCGAACGATGACCGGTAGGGAACAGTGCTAAATAGTGAGTGCCATACCCTGCATTATTGCATGTAGTTGCGCCTGCAAAGCATCATTGCAGTTGAAGATGCAACGGTATGCAGCAAATAACACGCTGCCATCCTGCTTGGCTGCTTGCGCAATACCATTCCGGCCGCCGCCGATCCATCAGAAGGTGAGAACGCTCCGTCAACAGATAGTGCAGCCCAGTCCGTAGGTGGGTGCGGCCATGGCAGTGACGGGGCCGCAGCCCGCTGCACGACAGGCGTGTCATGAACCATTGGCATTTTCTCTTTGATAATCTCCTCCGTTGTGAACCTCCTGCTTACATGTATCGACTTCATATAACTCTGAAGAAATTCAGCCGTTGCCACCATGGATGGAGCGTCCTTCCCATGAGCCAGGTCTGACCGCAATGACCAAATTTTCCAGATTAACATTATTGTGCAATCACGCATCGAATCATCACAGTTCGCCAGTATGTTCAAGAACCATTCTTTCCCCGTATATCCTGCAGCCATTCTTGAGCTGGCAATTTCCAAACTGTACGCATTTGATCCCAGATGTTCCTTGCATGAACACAAGAAACCAAGGCATGGAAGCTTGACTCTTTTTCTCGTCCACACAACGGGCAGCTATCTCTAGTAGAAATGTGTCTATATTTTTTGCACGCATTTGTGGCCACGGCTCCAGAGACAACTTTCCACGCCATAATCCTCATTTTTAGCGGCACCTGGGCACTCAAGATCCGCTGCCAAGCAGGCCTCTGGCCCGATGGTTGAGTGCTAGATGAGCCCAGGCTTAATGCTAGACGATCCTCAGTTGCCAAACGGTAAGCACTTTTAACCGAAAACGGTCCGCTCCTCTCTGGAAACCACGCAAGAAAGTCCTAGCCGTTCCTCGGTGAGGTGCGGATCTTCAAAATCTCACGTACATCCATATCCTAGAAGTGCTATCGTAATCTTTGTACATTCCAAGCACCATGAACATCCAGAAAGTCAGCAACCCAATTGAAGCGGCAATTTCTTCATACCCCAAAAGAAGGCTAAGCTCTTTATAATGCTCAAGAGTAATCAAATTATCACAATATTTAGACACGACTTGATCATGAAACAAATATCATTGGAGCTTTAAATGACCATGTTCATTGAAAGTTCACAAGGGGCACGAAAGATATTCAATCTTTCAGCACATTCATCTAGCTCTTCTTACAACAATTTGGTTTCTAAGTACTTATGCCTCTTGCAATATCTATCTTCCCTATTTGATGTGTACTTACAAATCCAATGTACTCCACAAAAATTGACATGTTTATAGGAGACATTTTCATCATAACTAGTGCAATCATCATTAGTATCATGGATATTCAAAGAATTCGTACTAACAAGGACTCTGATTTTCTGAAATCAGCTCCGACAGCAAAGGACGTAGACCATTGACCGGGCACTTGGACACAATTTTATAAATAACATTACACAAACTGATCGGCCTAAAGTCTTTCAACTCTCTTGGATGTGGAATTTTTGGAATAAGAACAACAGTGTCATTCACTCCTTCTGGCATTAACCCAGAAGTGAAAAACTCCAAGACCGCTACAATAATCTCAACCTTTAGTGTAGACCAATTATGTTGGTAAAACCTGGCTGGGAAGCCATCCATGCCCGGAGCTTTCAACGGCCCAATCTGAAAAAGTGCATTCGAAACTTCTTCTTCCGAGAAAGGCGCACATATCATATCATTCATATGTTCAGTTACCTTTGGCAAGATGCCATCCATCACAACCTCCAGTGATAAGGTTGGATCCTTCGTAAAAACTTCCTTAAAGTAGGAAGTAGCCATACGCTCCATGTCAGACAGTACCGAGCACCAAGTCCCGTCAGACCGACGGATCCGCTGAATATAGTTCTTGCGCGCACGCCATACAGCTCGTAGGTGCAGGCAGGAAGTGTTACGTTCTCCCTCCTTTAGCCACTCAATCCGTGACCTTTGAAGCCTGATATCTACTACACAACCCTCTTCTTGTAGACGTTGTTGGGCCTGCAAGTGCACAGGTTTGTAGGACAGTAGAAAATTTCCCTCAAGTGGATGACCTAAGGTTTATCAATCCGTAGGAGGCGTAGGATGAAGATGGTCTCTCTCAAACAACCCTGCAACCAAATAACAAAGAGTCTCTTGTGTCCCCAACACACCCAATACAATGGTAAATTGTATAGGTGCACTAGTTCGGCGAAGAGATGAAGATACAAGTGCAAAATAGATAGTAGATATAGGTTTTTGTAATCTGAAATTATAAAAACAGCAAGGTAACAAGTGGTAAAAGTGAGCGTAAACGGTATTGCAATGGTAGGAAACAAGGCCTAGGGTTCATACTTTGACTAGTGCAAGTTCTCTCAACAATAATAACATAGATAGAACATATGACAAGCCCTCAACATGCCACAAAGAGTCACTCCAAAGCCACTAATAGCGGAGAACAAACGTAGAGATTATGGTAGGGTACGAAACCACCTCAAAGTTATTCGTTCGGATCGATCTATAAACGAGTTCGTACTAGAATAATACCTTAAGACACAAATCAACCAAAACCCTAATGTCACCTAGATACTCCATTGTCACCTCAAGTATCCATGGGCATGATTATACGATATGCATCACACAATCTCAGATTCATCCAACCAACATAAAAGTACTTCAAAGAGTGCCCAAAGCTACTACCGGAGAGTCAAGAACGTGTGCCAACCCCTATGCATAGGTTCATGGGTGGAACCCGCAAGTTGGTCACCAAAACATACATCAAGTGGCAGATGATATCCCATTGTCACCACAAATAATTATGGCAAGACATACATCAAGTCTTCTCATAAAGACTCAATCTGATAAGATAACTTCAATGGGGAAACTCAATTCATCACAAGAGAGTAGAGGGGGAGAAACATCATAAGATCCAACTACAATAGCAAAGCTCAGGATACATCAAGATCGTGCCATAGAGGGAACACGAGAGAGAACACGAGAGAGAGAGAGAGATCAAACACATAGCTACTGGTACATACCCTCAGCCCCGAGGGTGAACTACTCCCTCCTCGTCATGGATAGCGCCGGGATGATGAAGATGGCCTCCGGTGATGGGATCCCCCTCCGGCAGGGTGCCGGAACAGGGTCCCGATTGGTTTTTGGTGGCTATAGAGGCTTGCGGCGGCGGAACTCCCGATCTATCTTCTGTTCTGGAAGTTTTAGGGTACGTAGGTATATATGGGTGCAAGGGGTACGTCGGTGGACCTACGGGGTTCTCACAAGGTAGGGGGCGCGCCCAGGGGGGCCCACCCTCGTGGGCAGCCCGTATCTCCCCTGACGTGCACTCCAAGTTCCCTGGGTTGCTTTCCTTCCAAAAATAACTTCTCTATTTGATTTCGTTCCGTTTTGACTCCATCTGATATTCCTTTTCCTCGAAACACTGAAATAGGCATAAAATAGCAAATCTGGGCTGGGCCTCCGGTTAATAGGTTAGTCCCAAAAACAATATAAAAGTGGATAATAAAGCCCAACATTGCCTAAAACAGTAGATAAAGTAGCATGGAGCAATAAAAAATTATAGATACATTGGAGACGTATCAAGCATCCCCAAGCTTAATTCCTGCTCGTCCTCGAGTAGGTAAATGATAAAAACGAATTTTTGATGCGGAGTGATACTTTGGCATAATTTCAATATAAATCTTCTTAATTGTGTTATGAATATTCAGATCCGAAAGATTCAAGACAAAAGTTCATATTAACACAAAAATAATAATACTTCAAGCATACTAATCAAAGTAATCATGTCTTCTCAAAATAGCATGGCAAAAGAAAGTCATCCCTACAAAATCATATAGTTAGGCTATGCTTCATTTTCGTCACACAAAGATGTTCCCAACTTCTATACCCCCGATTACAAGCCAAGCAATTATTTCATACTCAAATAATCTCAAACTCTGTCAACCTTCATGCAATACATGAGCGCGAGCCATGGATATAGCACTATGGGTGGAATAGAATATGATGATGGGGATTGTGTGGAGAAGACAAAAAAGGAGAAGGTCTCACATTGACGAGGATAATCAACGGGCTATGGATATGCCCATCAATTGATGTCAACATGAGGAGTAGGGATTGCCATGCAACGGATGCACTAGAGCTATGAATGCTCAACAAAAGAAAACTAGTGGGTGTGCATCCAACTCGCTTGCTCATGAAGACCTAGGGCATTTGAGGAAGCCCATCGTAGGAATATACAAGCCAAGTTCTATAATGAAAAATTCCCACTAGTATAAAAAGACTTATGAGACTCACTACATGAAGAACAAGGTGCTACTTTGAAGCACAATATATGATACTCACTCCATGAAGAACCAGGTGCTACTTTGAAG